CTACCACAATTTAATAAATACGTCAATCTTGATATTGACTGGATTATGACAACTTTTATCTTGAATGATAATAGCTCCTTCACAACTACTTCTTTCAAACACAGTACGCTAAAGAAAAACAGATATCGCATACTTCTTGAGATGCTCCTACTCTTAACATTCTCCACCTCAGACATCCTACCATTTTCACTTCCCCCATATGTCCTATTTGTTTTATTTCTGTTGATACCTTTCTTCACGTATGGCAATGTCCCAACAATAATATTTCATTGTCACAATTAGCTATAGAAACGAGACGCTCTTTGCTTCTTAAACTTAGCTATTTAAAAAACACTGACGCTTCGCATGATAACATTGTTTATCAGATCAGTCAACTATCAATATGGTCTCATACTCCAAATATACATGATATAGACTTCATCGACATCTTAAAAGGTTTGGTACCTGGTACCTTGGTATCACTACTCAACAATATCATATCTGACGTCAGCATCACCAAAGCTTTACTATTCTCACTATATTATGACCTTTTCAACACTATTTGGATTATTTGGACCCAAAGGTGTGATTCGTTTGAAAAATGAAAATTGTCTCGCCGTATTAACAATGATTATAAATCTGATCCCCATCTTTGGGTTACCTCTGGTTTCCCATCATCATCTCATATCATACCCCCTGTTTCTCTACTTTCTTTTGTCACTTCGGTTAATTCTAGTTCTCATTGGTCAAATTTTTGGTCAGAAAGTAATCACGCCTCCTACTGGACGGTTGGTTTAGTTTAATTTCTTTTGTTTTTATTCTTTATTTTAGTCTAGCATGATGCAAGGTTGGTATTGATCTTAGTTTAGTTTTTTTTCTCTTCTAGATAGATATTTTTGTATTTTCTCATTTTTACTTCTATACTTGTATAACGTAAATATAATAAAGACTATATAAAACTTCTGTACCATAAAAAAAAAAATATATATATATATAATTAATATATATTGTAATATTACAAATTTATATTGTAACCCAAATGATTTTTAAGAATTGCATAGCAAAGTGATCTACAAAATGATCAACATGTGGATTGATTTACAAATTCAATGACATAATGATCTACACAAGTAATCTGTGAAATTAATCAGATCAGTTAATAAAGAAATGAAGTAATAATTCATTAGCCTATAATGACATGTTTAACCTTCTAAACTAGAAACTCCAAATAGAAACTTTAATGAGAAACTAGTCAAAGGCTAAGTATAAGGATGTAGTAATAATTTAAAAATAATATAATTATATTTATATCTTTTCAAATGTATATATATTATAGTTATAGGACTATTGCATAGCAGTTAGGTAATCATTACTCAATTATTATAATGAAATTTCATAGAAAAATGAAAGAATTTTTACATAGTTTTTATGCAATAGATAGCAATTTGGTGTAGACATTTTATTATAAATAAGCTGAGTTTTTCATCATGTATCATTAGAAATTTAGGAAGAAATTTAATGAGAAAAACTTAGAAAATTTGAAAGATAATTTATAAGTTTAATAAAAATCTTTGCTAAATTGTCTCGGCAAATCAATCATTTGTGTCAAACATATTTTGTGTTAAATGACTTTGTGTCAATTATGTTTTAATATTATTGATTTATTCGTGTTAATAAATCGCTTAAGTGTTAAATTATTGTTTTGTGTCAACTATCATGTTTAGAGTCATCAACAAGTTAAAGTATTTAATATTGTGAAATACTTTAAGCTGAGCACCATCAACTTGGTTATAATAGGTTTATTATAATATTATCAAGGTAATTTCTCTAACTTCTTAGAAAATTACAAATCATCCATAGTGAATTGGAAGTCTTCATACTTGCCAATTCAGAAACTTAATTATGAAAATTCACTGACATCAATCAAAATTCAACATAATTAAAGTCTCTCCTAAATCATTGTAAAGATTAAGTTAAATCTTATTGCTACTTAATTGATTATGTGTTTCAGTCTGCCTAATCAATAGTTAGATAACAATATATACAATTAAACAATAAATTTTATAATATTACAAATTTTTAAAATAACTGAGGCTGTCATCTTTATTGTATAATTATAATATAGTATTATGCAATAAAATATGAAATATTAATTATATAATTATATTAAAAGTAAATTTTGAAGTAATAATTATTTAATATATTTGTAAATTTAAATGTATTATACATTATATTATAATAATTTATTGTGATCAATTGATCTACGTATATTATGATTTATCTGTTATTTATTTATTATACAAAAACATTTAAATAAATAAAAAAAAAATTATTAATGACAAATTCATAAAACTTTGTAAAAGTTAAAAATATAAATTGAAATAAAAATCAAAATAAAGATGCTTATATAAATATACAATAATAAGCTAAATATAATTATTATTTTTATTATAGATAGAAATTCAGTAAATTTTATTTTATGATTTGAATCACTCGTCTTGCAAATTGCATTTTTCACATTCATCTTCATCTGAAATAACATCCAAATCATAATCATAGACAGGTGCTTCTTGTGCAATTGTTAAAACGGGCGCGTGGTTTTTGCTAATCTAAATATATTATCAATAATCATTGTTAACTACAAGTAACAAAAAAATGTGATAAAAATATACAACGCTTAACTAACCTCTTCAACAAGGTTACAAAAATTTTCAAATTCTTCACCATTTCGACAATAAAATCCAAGTAGCATTGAAGGATCTAGTTGCGAAATTGGTATTTTACGTAACGTATCGCAATGAAAAGTTGACATCTCCTTTTTTTATCAAAAAAAATTTTTTGAATAATTATTATAATTATTACAATAGATATATATTTAACACAAATGCTCCTACCTCTTCAGTAAATTCTTGTATGGCTTTCAATTCTAATGCCGGCCTTGAATGATGTGGATCAAGATAAAGCAAGTCATCTCCTAAATGATATAAGAACATTATACATAATCGAAATTTTAAAAATATTAATCTAGTATTTTCCGTTCAATAACAAACCTTGAGTTCCAATAAAGTAATATGAAGATGATGGCTTCCCCCTATTTGAATGAAATATTTTTAAAAAATTCTACTAGGTAATTCAGAATTTAAGATTATTCTACTTGCCCAGCTATTCCTACACAATGTGGAAATCTAAAATATGCCTAAAAACAAATAAACAAATATAAAACTTTATGTAAGATGAAGCTCCTTTGTAATTATAATTATAGCTATATTATTAAATTATTAACTTTTAATGCATCATAATATATCGAATTAAGCTTTTCAGTCCCCAATCGCGTGGCAACCAGAATCAAAACTGATTGAAAATCCTTTCCAGATCGATTATTCTGCGCAGCATTGTATACTTCATTTTTATAAACTACACCATCTGTTGCAATGTGTACACTTAATTGTGCAGCTGGATAATCTTCTACCAATGCTCTATTGAATTTTTTGATTAGTTAAAAGTAAATAATTTTTTTTAAAGGAATAAAAGCTATGCCATACTTGATAGCTTGAGATGCTGTTGAAGGCCCAAACCATTCGCCAATACTCTTTCCAAGCAGTTTACCTAACAAAGCTACACGGTGAACGGAAAACGGACAACGTGATGACATGTCATCTATAAACCATGCAAGAATCTAAAATCACAATATGGAACATTTAGTTTTTTAATTAATAAAAAATAAACAAATAAATAAATAAATAACAACCTCTACATATCTATTCCATGTATCTTCACCTCTATTTACTCTTCGCCATTCTAAATAAATTAAAAAAAGAAAAGATCAACAAAAGTTGACCTAATTGATAAAATAATTTCTGTTATATCCCTGACAAGGATATATATATTAAGAAGATTACAGTAATATAATGAATTTCATATGATTATATTTATATTATAAGTAAAAGAATGAGATTCACAGACCTCTACCCAAAAATTGTACTATTAAAGCATTTGCAAGTAATGATTGACCTGACCTTAACATACAACCCCATCCTCCATCATTCGTAAAGTTCGTTGGTTTTATTGGAGCGTAATTGTGTCTATATGTACACCATATTCGTGAAGTGAAATCTTGAACAAATTCAGCTGGATAATTAGTTGATGATAATGTCTGTTGTTGTACCGAAAGATGCGGAAAGGTTCCGGGTGTAGTATAATAATAACTTGATGCTTCATAAAAAGTGCCATTAGATTCGCTCGAACAGCGATCTTCATTGACTTCATAATGTACACCCATCAACCAAATCGTATTATCTAAACTATCAAATAACCCTTTTTTGAAACGAACAAAATCAGGATCGTCCTTATCAGACTCGTCTCCATTTGTATCTTGAGAAGGGATCCAAAAAGAACTAAACCAGCTCGATATTTTCTTGGTAACTTCTCCAGTTCCTATATTTTCTTTTTCAATACTAATATTATCAGCATTACTGCGCCCAAGGTTTGGTCGTGGTCGTGGCCTAGTTGAGCCAGGTAATTCCACTTCTTCATCAAGAACATCTAAAACCTCAGCTTCAGTCATACTTGTCTCACGGATCCCGCCGTCAGACAGTGAGATGGAGTCTTCTGAAATTCTCTCTATAGATTTTGTAAATTCGTCAACCTTAGTGGGCTCAGAAGTCAAAACCCCAATGTTATCCATGTTTGTGAAAAATAGGTTATAATATATTCAAGGAGTGTATTTACTACAAAATCATAAATTAATAAATAAGCTAAACTGTGAAATTTTCCATTGGCAAGAACTATGATAAATCTTTAATTGGTAACTATAGTATGCCTTATTGGCTGATTTGATATTCTGTTACACGAACTACGTCAAAATAAACTCAATTTTAAAGTTGTATAGATATTCAAATCAACCAATGAATTATAATTAAGATCGTCACACTACATATCACAAAATTGATATCATAGTAAAAATTCAATTCCTGTCAAAAAATAAAGAGAAAAAGAAAATCAATGGCACACCTTCAACTTATTCTTGATCGACTTATTGCCGAAAATCTTCATGGACCTATATTGACAACGAGTAGTAGTAGTATGATCACTTATAATCAGAGAATATTGAGACGTGTTTCGCAACCTGAATCGCCGAGTACATTTCAACGAGACGACCAGGGGCTTGATTCGGGAGATCCGAGGTTGTCAACAATTAATTTTATTATATGCGTTCGAATGATACTTAAATTATGTAGTTATTCTTATATTGATATTGATACTTACAAATTCTTTTAGATGGCCAAATCTTTTTGTCGAATTTTTTCTCGAGAATAGTGATGCTAAAAATGATGATTTGTTATTTTTCGTAAGACACACGCATTCAGAAAACGAAAGTCTTGATCCAGTGTTCGTTAAAAGAAAGACCACTCCAAATATAATGCCACCTCTAGATGATGCAGTATTATGGAAAGAAACATTTTTTCTGAATTTGATCGTTCAGGTACCTGGACATAATCTAGATTAGACGTAAATTATCATATACATGTTTTATTTATTTAATCATTAAACAGATTTTCTGAATGATTTCGTGTCTCTTGAAAATTTTCTTAGTTACCTTGTAAATTAACGGTTGCAGTATGTACACGGACACCGAATGATGGGCCAAACCAAAAGACAAGCATGACATGTTCAAAGAAACATGTTTCAAAGCGTGTTTATGCTCTTCCAACTAAGTCAAGAATGGATGTTAAGGAAACATCTATGGAGTGTTCTTATCCTCTTATTTATTATGTGATTGATGATTATGAGGATATGTTTGAACATTTAATTGTCGCAGATGGAGAGTATTTATGTGTAGAATTGGCAGTTACTATGCCAAATAAATCAGACGATGATGATGACTTTAGCGATAGGGACAATGATAGTGATGAATATTATTATGATACTTCCACAAATAATAGCAAAAAAAGTAGCAGGCACAGAAGATCAATGACTAATGGACCTTTCCCACAACCATCAAATGATTCAAAAATCACTTTATTTCAAGGTGCTGCTTCTTATTCTTCTTTGTTGGGTATCTATAAACAAAAAGCGGCTAGTAAATTAAATAAGAGATTTAAGATGGGACCTGTAACGCCTCCTACTGAATATGTTATGATGCGAGGACCAGGCGGAAAAGGACATGCACAGGTTGGTTATAAATATTTTATTATGATTATTCAAAAGGTTGGATTCAAGTTTTTTTTTCGTTTCCCCCCCTTTTTTTTAAAAAAAAAATAGGTTGCAATCACTGCATCATCTTTAGATGAAGCCGATGAAGATTTATTGGATTTAACACCAAATGAATCAAATTTAGCACCTTCATATAATGCTACTTCATTAGCAACAGGAGTTGATTCTAATTTATCGTGGAATTTTAATAGCGGAAGTAACACCACAATTACTAACATTAATAATGGAAAAGCATCAATCAGACAGAGGCCAACTTCATCTAGTTCGTTCTTTCAATCTTTGAAAAGATTATCACAATCTATAACGGATAAATCTTCATCTGATCCTGAAAGTCTGAAATGCTGCATGACGTTTGTCAATGTTCCTTGGACAAGTATTATCACGTAAGAATTTATGCATTCATTTAAATTTTTTTTTTTTTTTTTTTTTGATATATCTATATTATTTATTTTATATATATATATATATATAATTTAGGGACCTTACAACATATGCGAAAAAAAACCAGCAATCATTATAAGAATTAAATGCTTTTTTATAGTTTTATTTCTATTCTATTCTATTCTATTTGATATTTATATGTTATTTGTAAAAAATGTTTTATTAGAGATTTATACTAATAGTAAATTTTTTTTTATATAATAAAAAAAATTTTTTTTTAATTGTTAGAATTTTAGGTGTTTATAAGTATTTAATAAAACTTTTTTATTTTTATATTTCAATTATTTCAAATAATTTTAATTATAAAAAAAAATTGTAAAGAAATTTAATAAATTATTTGTTTTATTGTATTATGCGAAACAACTGGATTGATTCGAAAAATTTAATCAAGCAAAGATATTTGATTTATTGTCAAAATAATAAATTATTGTTTTTTTTTGCGTTTCCAATGTTCGAGGAGAATTTTAGAAAAGAAATCAATAAAGCTCGCCTTCTGACTTGTATTAGAAAATAATAACACAAAGACGCTTGGAGACAATTATCGACAAAGGATCGATTCGATGCATGCGCCACGGACAACTTTTTTACGAAAGTTTTTTCCAAACCTTAATAAAATTTATATTACTTAAAAATTATGTATGTAGGTGTTTTATTTGCTCGCTCTACAAGTTTACTTAAGGCGGCGGATTGGGTTTTTACAGAACAATTTGACTTGGATGCTTTTTTTGAAAAAAAGCGCCACATACTTTAAACTATATAGTCACACATTTAGGTTTTTTTATATATATATAGTGTGCGGGGCAGATAATTAACCTGTTGATTCGTATGTGCTAAAGTAAGGGACGAAAGGGATGTACCTAAGGTCTTCTCATAATTTTTCATATAAAGTAACCATCCGTTTACACTACCCCAGATCGTGTCACCTGTACCATTTTTTGGCTAAGGCTTATTTTCTAGGTTCACTCTTATGAGATAGATCATTACAGGTTTCCTAGCGATAGAGGGATCATTCAGGCTATATAGGAGCATCATACTTATATCTTTATCAGAATATTATCACAATATTTGCCTAAATGGTAAACTAGCTGAGATGACCATCATATCCATTTCATTAAATAACCCAAGAATTGAACCTAGCCTCTAACCCTAGTGACAGCTTGATTAGATGGTATTACGGTATGCAATGCAGCTATTATTACCATTGATCTAATTTACAAAATTCTGATTAATCACTTTCTTTACTTCATTAAGGTCATTAAGGATCTTTGCAGTATGAGATATGAGATTATATCCATTATAGATTAATTAGTGATGATCAAGTTTCTATTGTAATACAATCAAATAATAGTAATGTTTATATACTTAAAATAGAAGGAATTAAACAACAAATTGATAAATTCTTTCTATAAAAAGAAATAAAGCTTTAAATTTTTTTGATACAATAAATAAGTTTGAGAACTCTTACATGATTATAATAAACAAGTTTACAATAAGAATTCTTACACGATTAATTTTACTTTATGAATTTTAATTAGTAGATCAAAAATAATCAATTTAAATTATTTCATAATTTTATTTTTTAAAATATACAATTACTTTCAAAAGAAAATTTAAAGTCTAATTATTAATACACAATTTCTAGTTTTCATAATTTTCACAATTTTTACAGTTTTACAATTCAATTTTAAATTATAAAAATTAAATAAATTAAATCAACGCATTAATCACTAATTTTTAACATGAGATTTAACCTGTAGCTGAAAATTTGGCTGAGTTAAATCCAGTTTAAACCAGTTTACTTAAAATTTTTGATTAGCTAAAAAATACTGATTTTATTGATAATACAATGCAATAAGTTTTTATCAGCATTGTATTTATTTCATTAAGTTTGATGAAGAATTCAAGGAGAATTTATTATCTTACAAAATTTATAAAATTTAAGCATTAAAAAAATTAATTAGATGTATAGGATTGTTATTTTATTATTTTTTATTTATGTAAAATTTATATGTTATTTTAAATTCCTTAATAATTCTATATACATTACAGAATTTTGATATAGAATTATTAATTATGTATATAAACCTTATAAAAAATATATCATTTTCTTATTTTGATTTCTTATAGGAAGCTAATTTTTAAAGATACAAACCTTAACTTAGTAGTAAAACTGTAAGTTTCTTATAAGTTAAAATTTTATTACATATTGATAGGCTATGGTATGATGGCTTTCATCTATAAACCACAAAAATATCATGTGACCTTAAAATTTTATAAAACAGAAATTAAATAATAAAATATTAAATTGAAACTAATAAATTAATAGAATAATATGAGCTGAACATTTCTATCAGTTTACTTTTAAAATTTATTAAGAAAAATTTAATTTTATTTAATTTCAAAGCTCAAGAATAAATCATATAACCCATATAGTAAAAAGACAAATTTCAGACTAGATTGTCGTATCATTTTTTACGAATTTTATGTGAAAATCAAGAAATTGCAGCTTAATAAAGGAAGACACATATGATTTTATCAATTTTTTTTTATAAAAGTAAAGATATTTTTCGAATTTAAAATGCTAAATTCAATGTCTAATTTAATGTCTTTAATTTTGATTCTTTAAAACAAATCGTTATTTTTTTGCTTGTATGTCCATATCAAAGAGAAACTTATCAAATGATGAATTACAAACAATAGATGAATATTAAAATCTGATAAATGTTCCATTTTTTATCTATTTTCCTGTATTTTCTATTTTTGAATCAATTAATAAATGATGCATCCATTATTTTTCATGTCTCGATTAATTAATAACAATGATTCATCTATCGAAGTGAAAAGCTAAAATTATAGAGCAAGAACAAGATAATAAAGGAAAGTTTTCAAAAAAATTAAGTTAACTAATGAATTTGACGAATAGAGAGATGATAATGATGGTGAATAGGATGATGATAACGAAATTAGTCTGTTAAATAAAAAGAACCTTTGAAAATGAACCTTTTGAGTTAATCTGATCAGATAATACATGTTTAGAAAAAAAGAAACGTGGACCTTATCTTACCAGAAAGATTAAAAAATCAACATATTTTGATAAATATAAACTAAGTGGTTCTTTTACAAAAGCTGCAAAAGGAACTGCTGATATGTTAACACTTATAAATAATATCAATCAATTCCAGATAATTTCGATGAAGTTTTGAATAATATGGATGATATGGGAAATGAAGAACAAAATAATCAACTTAATCTAAAAAAAGACTCGAAAATTTAAAAATTGAACTTAAAGAGAAACAAAAAACATTAACAGTGGTTGAAAATAATAAAAAATGAGCAATATTAGAATATTTAACAAGATTAAATAATGATGGAAAAGGAAAGGTAAAAGCCAGCACGGAAGCTGCGCAGTTGGTTTTTATTGAAAGTGTACTATTTAGAGCAAGAACTATTCAATATTGGGCAAATTATGAGCTTCAATATGATCATCTTCCAATAAGCCGTCAAGGTAAACATCAAAAAACACTATAATTAATAGATGATAAAGATATAGCAGAAAAGTGTCATATGTGGATTCAGTCTCAAAATGGAAAAACCACTCTATTAAAATTCAAGGAATTTGTTGAACAAAAACTTCTTATTAATTTAAAAGTAATGAAAAAAAAAACCATCAGTGAAGCAACTGCATCACATTGGCTAAATGTACTTAGATTTTTTTTAATCACAAAAACAAGGTAAGATTAATTTATTATTATTATTATTATTATGTATTAACAATAAAATTTATTAATTAATTTAATATTACTTAACTTAATGGTAAAGGCATTTACTACGATGGTCATGAATGTTCTAATGTTGTTGAATATCGAAAAATATTTTTGGACAAAATCTATAGCTATGAAAAGTATATGGCAAAATATGAAGGTGAAAATATGGGGCGGATACCACTAATATTAGGACCTAATGATAAGGAAATAATTCTCGTAACTCATGATGAATGTATATTTTACTCAAACGATAAAAAATGAGGTGTATAGGCAAAGTTCAGAAAATTGCCATTATGTAAGAAAGGAAATGGTCATTCTATTATGGTTAGTGGATTTTTGACGGAAGAATGCAGTCGACTTAAATTGAATTCATAGCAACGTCAACAAAACCCTTCCATACCTAAAGAAGCTCGAGTTTATCTTCAACCGGGAAAAGATCGAGAAGGTTACTGGACGAGTGAGCATCTAATTGAACAAATAAAAATGAAGGCTATACCGATTTTTGAAGCAATTTTTCCAAACTGTATTGTCTTGTTTGCATTCAATAATAGTTCAAACTATGTGACATATAAATCTGATACACTCGTGGCAAGTAGGATGAATCTCAAACCCAGAGGAAAGCAACTGAAGATAAAAGATATAGTTTTTGGACCAGATAATCAACATCAATCAATAGTCAATGAGAATAACAAGCCAAAAGGAATGAAACAGGTATTAACTGAATGTGGATTGTGGAAAGATAGGTTAAATGCTAATTATAAGTTGTGTAAGGATAAGATTGAAGATGTAAATCAGACAGATTGTTGAGCATGAAGGATTATTTCACTACAGCCAGATTTTCTGTCTCAAAAAAAGCGCGTTAGAGAAAGTAATACTAGAAGCTGGACATAAATATATATTTTACCTGAAGTTCCATTGTGAACTGAACTATATTGAACGATACTGGAGAGCGGCAAAAAGATATGCTTGAGAGAACTGCAATTATTCTTGGTTAGGCTTGCAATATGTTGTTCCTGCAGCCTTGGAATCTGTTAGTACAATTACAATAAGAAAATTTGCTAGGAAGGCATAGTGTTACATAGATTTGTACAAGAAAGAAATAACCGGTAATTGGTAGAATATGCTGCTAAAAAGTATAAATCTCACCGTTGCATTCCTGAATATGTACTGGTGGAATTAAATGAAATAAAATAATAAAATTCGTGATATAAAAAAATGCAATATTATGTGAATAAAAGCTAAAATCACATAAAAATCACATAAAAATCGACATCCAAAATTTTGGACTAGTGTGGTTTATAGGTAAAAGCCACCATATCAGTTAAGGTATTATATGATATATAAAACGATAGTTTTCATAAAAATTTCTTTATTATAAAACTGATAGCATATGAACTAACATATGTATAAATTTATTGATCAAGGTTGATTATGTTTAAATACTATATAGCGATAGAATATATAAATACAAATAAAGCTTTAGATCAACAGAAATTTAGTTTTCACTAATTGTTTTGTAATAGACATAATTTTATGTCCACTTTGTAGGAATCCTTTATACAAGTAAAGGAAGTGATTGATAAAATTTAGTAGATTAGATTAATGGTAATAATAGATTGCATTACATATCATAATATTGTCTAATCAAACTGTCATTAGGATTAGAAGTTAAGTTCAATTTCTGAATTGTTTGACAAAATAAGTATAATAATCATTTTATTAGTTCACTATTTAGACAAATCTTGTTATATTATCCTATAAATCCTACAACATTAATTGGATAAAATAGATGTATAATGTTTCTATATAGCTTTAGTGATCTCTCTATCTAAATTTAACAGTTATCTGAATTGCTAGGTTACTTATACAAAAAACTCTCTCAAAAAAGTATACAGAATGTTATTTTTAGAAAATAGTCTTAATCAATAGTGTAGATAACACAGTTTAGAATGATATAATAGATTAGTTACCTTATATAAACAATAGTACTAATCTATGAGAAAACCTTGGTTTTTTATGATTATTAATTTCTTTGGAATTACAAACTAATCCTATTCTAACATTATAAAAAAAAATAATAATCAGCTGATTTCTGATATAACCCTTATTTATTTTTAAAAATAATTAACTATTAACATTTTTTTTTTAAAATAAATATAAAATTTATTTAAAAATATTATAAAATATTAATATTTTATAAAAATAATTTAATTAAAATCTTTAAATTTAACAATTTTTTTTTTAAAATTTTTAATTTTTTTTTTTTTTTTATGCTTTTTTAACATTAATTTAATTTATAATAAAATATACATATATATTTTTAATATTAATAATAAGTATTTATTGTTATTATTATTAATTTTAATTTCTCTTTTTATTATCAAATTTTTTTATAAAAATGTAAAAAGATAATGAATTATTTAATTATCTTTTTTAAAATATTCCATGAATACAAATTCCCAATATTGAATCATCCATTATAGCAGATACGGGAATAAATGTAATAGCAGCTTTTATTTTAGGAAAATTATTTTTTATTTTTAATTTAAAAGCTAAAAAAATAAAATAAAAAATAATATTACTATCAAAATTATTAAAAACAAAGATTATATAATTTATAGATCAAAATACCTTTTTCAAATTTAATTAGATCTATATTAATCTTTTTAGAATAAAATATTTTAATAGACCCAATATTATTCCAAAATTTTGAACATTTAATTTGTGATAATGTAAAAAATTGATTAAATAACTTATCAAATCCATATATCATTCCATCAAGTAATTTCAATAAAGTTATATCTATAAAGGACATTGAAATTATTTGCACTCCTTTTTATTTTTTAAAAAAAAATAAAATTAGATAATATAAAAGAAAACTTACTTTCATTATTGACTTGAATAATAATTACACTACATAATATTGGATTCATAAACCATGCAGTTGTCTTTGTAACTATTGGTTCAAAAGTATCCGAAGTATCTGAAATATAAAGAACATAAAATATATTACCACATTTCATAAGCAATTTTAGAGAACTTATGTTAACACATATATACCTTGCCAAATCTTTGGTTCCAATAAAGGATTCTCAATACCATCATCATCACGATGTATCAGCACTTGCCATTCAACTTTACCTCTACGGGGAAGTGATGGAACAGAAAGATAAAGAACAGGTTCCGTGTATTTCTACAAAGTAACATGAATTAACGTGATTTAAATATACAAATCTAATTAGTTAAAATCATACTTTGGAATTCTCGTCACTTTGTCCGCAGAAAACTTTCCAAGCATTTTGTACAAAAGGAAATGAACTTTCATCATCAACAAAACAAATCGATAAAGCGGTTCTTTTTTTCACGTTTAATTTTAAAACTGAAGTAACATTTTCTAAATTTCTTAACGATAAAAAGGTTTGCGTTTCGAGTGTTGGAGGTAAAGGAAATTCAAGTGATGATGGTACAAGTCCTATTTGTCCTGCAATAAATGCATGACTTTTTATCTAAAAAAATATTTTTGAGAGGAAAAAATAAATCATATTTCTATGAAACAAATTTAAATCTATAATAACGAACTTACGATCGTGGCTTGAGAATATGGTCCAATATTTGCTGGAGCCCAATAAGAAATACTTTGAACATGCATGGTTTCTCTTGGATTAAAAGATTCGTCATTAGATATAGGTTTTATCGCCATCAAATCTATTTGAATTTTCGCAGGTGAAGGCAAATTGCTACCTACACAAGCCCTATAATAATTTAACAAAGCATATAACATAAAAGTTAAATAATTTTAAACTCACAAAAACTTAATACAACGTATTTACCTTGTAGGTGGATTAATATTGAAGAATTTCTTATAAATCGCATTCATTTTTCCAAATTCATCCATATCTTTAATAAATACATTCATATTTACTACATCAGACCAACATAGACCTAATCCATGTAATCTTTCTAATAAATGTACATAGAAAAGAAGTAAAATAAAATAAATATTTTTCTTCAACAAATAAAGATCAAGTATCGATTATGTTTATATACCTTGAAGATTTAACATGCACGCATAAGTTTCTTTCTCAATTGATTCGAATTGCCGTACTTGTAAATTATCATATGCAGTTGTACCAGATACGATGTAGTAAGGTGGATTTGAGTATGAAGAAAATAAATCTATTTAAGGGGGGAAATCTTTTAATAAATTAGAGTGAATTTTTCGTAAAACGTATTACACCATATTACATAATTACATACAGAGATTTTCTTCCGATAAAAAATCTTCGCTAAGGCTATCAATTTTAATCGATATCATGGCATAATTTGTTCTGTTATTATCCAATTTCTACAAGAATAATAATAATAATTAGATAATTTAAAAGTATCATAAAATAATTATTATCTCACCAATTGCTTGTCTGATATCGTAAAACCTTCAATATCTGTTTTCCATGATGGAATCACAACAACAGGATTTGATATAATCTCACTAGCTTGTTTTTCTTCAACAATTAAACTTTTGAGACGAAGATAGGCAACTATAGCAAATGCATCATCAGAATGTATAACTGTCTCCACTTCCTGACTAAAATAAAACGCATAAGTTAGACAGCTGTTAACAAAAATAAATTATTTCAACTAAAAATGTGCGTATTAAATGTAAATCTTACACTGCAAGTCGCTTAACAAATAAAGGACAATCCAAAGTAAATGTTTCATATTCACCACCTTCACCGCATATGTGTACATCATACTTTTCATTCTATTTACAAAAAATAAAAAACAACATGTTCGAAATTCATTTCTGGATAAAATAAGAATACGGTATGAAACTAACCAAAACGCATAAATATGGATATAATTCTGCGATAGACTTGCCAAGATGAGTAGGTTTAAGTCCTACATTTATAGGAATATATAAATAAAATAATAAAGTTCACTAATCGTCACATATTTATTTACCTATTGCAGCTACTTTAATTAAAATTGCATTTATTCCAGCATTAATCATTTCTTTCAATAATTCTTTCTGATTCTTTCGCCAAAGATAAGCAAGTGATGTCAATCCAAGACGATCACATCTATATAATATTGTAATACAAGTATAAATTTATGTAATCTAGAGAAAAACAAAAGTTAAAAACGGAATTACATTACACGTTTTCAACACGAACACGTTGGTAATTTGATAAAATCGCGCCAACAGAAACTGCTTGAATATCAGAATGTTCTTTCTATTGAAATTCCAAAAAAAATGTACTTAAATCAACATTAAAGTATAATAAAACAGAAATAAATCGCAAAAAATTTAAACAACCTTCACTTGTTTTAATAGTTGATATAAATCTTCAGTCTCATCACCCAAAGTTTGCTGATAATCTGCACTTTGAACTAAAGAGCTACCCATAATCTCACGTCGATAAAGAGGAAGATCCATGGATTCAGCAATATATTCAATCGCGCCGTGACCAACAGTTTGATAAAGAAAACTGTCAAGTTCATCTACACTACCCAAAAGTATGATTTAAGGCAATTATTATAAAATAAAAATGATGTGATGGGTTGAGAATTAAAATTCCAACCTTTTATGAAATTTGATTGTGGTTTTAAATTTGCCAATGCCACAATCTGATGCCCATTTGCAACACAATGCATCATATTATAACAGCTATCTTTTCCTCCACTGATTAAAGCAACCACTTTCATGATTTCTATGAAATGATCTTAAAAATTCGGTTTGCAAGACCTTTAATTAAGGAATGATTTAAGTTAGATAAAGATTCACGTAATACTCGATCAAAGAATTTCTTGATATCTAACTATCTGGCTACAGAATTGTACTCTGCATACCTATAACGCTACAATGCATTTGAAAATTAAATAAAGAAGCGCCTCAAACAGCAGAGTTGAATGACTTTACTATTGCAAATAATTTTAATTTCTATCCAAAGTCACAAATAACGGATGTATGAATTTATAACTTGGATATAATTTGCTTAATGAATATTTTCTTTTTCATTATTTTCATTAAAAAGATAAAAGATACTTGCCTAATTTTTGAGAATAAACTTGATCTTACAAAAATTACGATTTTCTCCTTTTTAAAGAAGACCAAAAAAAAAAAGATCAACCAATCAAATCGTAGATATCATTATAAAAAATTTTAGGATCGGCCTTCGCTGATTGGTATAATCTTACGTCTGGGGCCCTTATTCCGTATACAAAAGTATATAAATTAAGGAAGTGATTGACCAGGATTTAGTAGATTAGATCAACGGTGATAATAAATTGCATTGCACCGTCTAATCGAGGGTTCGATTCCTGGGTTGTTACCTTGTTAAGTAGGCTTACTCCCGGTCACTGGTTCAATAATGCACTATGTGGGCGGGGGGATGGTGCATGTTAATGGTTGCCTCATATGAAAAACTATGTTGAGACCTTAGGTGATACCCTCATAGCACACTCGGTTGTAATAATAAACTATGTATTTATCACACAAAAAAAAAAAAATAAAAATAAAAAATTTTAGGATCGACCGAAATTGAGCCCTTAAAATGATTGGTTGCTGAAACGATCAGGGTCGCGATCAAATCGATCAGTTTTTGTAGTTCACTTTTGATCGGATCGATTTTACAATTAGACGAATGCGTTTTAATAAAGATCCTCATTACGTCCATTTTTTGGCACAAAATATAGCTGTACCTATTAAGTATCTTGTACTTAACCTTCTTAATAAAGTAACTAATGTTGTCTTCACTTGAAGTTCTTCATCTTCAAGTTCAGTTTCGTCGTCTAAAATCTGAAATAATAATATTGAATATATTGGATTTACGTTGCTTACAATTCATGTCCGATCGATCGATAACAAATAATTTAACTTCGATACGATTGGTTACAATTTTTTTCGGTCGATCCGGTCCGATCTAGAAATAGATCGATCAAAATTTTAATTGATATTTAGTCTGAAAAAAATAATTTATTTATTGTGAATACAATTTTAACTCTATAATTAATCTTTTTATATTAATTATTGAGATGTCTTTGTTGAAGAATTTAAAGATTATTTTCTGAACTTTGATTATTTGTAGTTGAAAAATTATTAATCGTAACACTTGCAAATGTATCACTACTATGTCTAATGTGATGATTATTTTTGTCTTCAATGATTTCGTTATCTTTTTTGTTAATTGATACAACTCCAAAACTTTCAACATTATTTTGATCATGTGGAGGAACATATTTTTGATTCTTTTGACGTGTAAACAACGGTTTTAAAAATCGATCATCAAATGAAATAAACCAGTGCTTTTGTTCAGATTCATTGGATGTAATATTATTTAATTGGGCGGAATTTATAGAATCACTCACTAACATTTCTCCAGATTCAGTTCTTGGATGATGATGTGTCATTTCCTCTTCATCTTTATCATATTCCTCATCATCACTATCATTTTCACCCTCGTCTATACCTGTCTGAATCTTTAGAATTTCCAACATTTTACCAGTTGAACCTCCAAATACTATGACACTAAGTACAACAATAACAAGAATGGTTGTTAGCATTGCATTTGCATTTCTGCCCTCAAGTTCTGCCGTTAATGCAAACGCAACAGCTCCACGTAACCCTAAAAATCAAAAGTATTTTAACGAAATATTTAAAGTGAATGAATGTTTTTTAATACAAAAATGACATGTACCTGCCCAGAAAAGCATGATAGAATGTCCTTGTGGAATTGAATCAATTTCTTTTCGATATCGCGCTGAAGTATTCACTAAAAATGATAAGGGAAATATTGCAAAAAATCGTCCTAGGCATATAAATATCTGGAGATAATCGATTAGTAAAGTAAGTTTGAACAGCTCTTACAATATTTAATAATTCATAAAGAATAAAAAGTTTCTTACCGCTGTAAAAAATATAAATAATGGCTTATATTCAAGATCAGATTTTGTGAACAAAGTTAATCCTAAATAAATAAAAATGAAATTTTCCGAAAGTTGAGCTAATACATGAAATAAATATTTCGTTGTTCGTTTAGTTTTCAATGACATGTTATCATAAGCGTAATGCTTTAGAATTATGCCACAAAACAATAACGATACGATCCCTATTTACAAATTTATAAAAAGATAATTAGACAAGTATATTTGAATGATAATTTTTGAAGACAATTTTTACCTGAAGAATCAAGACCATTTGATAATAAATAAGAAGAATACGCCATCAAGGCAATTATACATGATTCTATCGAAGAATACTTGCGCAATTGCGAATGCTTTAACATGTATAAATTTGAATTAAGGACCTTTTAAATTACAAAATTAATGAAAGTATGAAATGTTATCTTTATGAAAGGATATCAAAGCGCACAAAACTCCAATGAAAACTCCAATTGATAATGAAACTCCAAATTTGAGCATGAAAGAGAAAATCCCGTGAAAAATATTGGAAACATGAAACTCTTGATCACGATATTGATTTAATGTTCTATAATAATAATAATAATAATAATAATAAAACCGAAAATTTAACAAAAAATTTATACCAAAATTTTTTTCTTTAACATTGAGTACTTACTCGCAAAGCACAATTGAAACAGCATCATTCAGCAGGCTTTCGCCAAAGATGATTGAATATAATTTTGGATCAACTTTTAATGATTGAAATATTGCAAGCACTGTCACCGCGTCCGTTGCTGACAAAATAGAACCAAAGATCAACGAATCAAGAAAAGATAATGAAAGTGAATCAATTCTGAAAAATGCCAATATTCCAACGAGAATTCTAAAAAAAAAAAGACAATCAAAATTTTGATATCATAAGTTTTATATCATGCAAGGCGTGAATTATACAATTAAAAATTACCCAATAACCAATGCTGATATAAAAGTTCCCACAAACGCGAATAGTAAGCTTGTTCCAAAATTTCTAAAAAATATTTCCTGTTTTTAATAATTGACTCGATTAGTTCAAAAATTTTCCCTTTTATTTTTTTTTAAAAAAAAAAAATTATTGAAATTAATTCATACCCTTTGCATTTCATACCCTGAATTCAAAATAATTGGTGGTAAAAGAATATTGAAAAAATATGTATAGTTAAATGTAACCATTTTTTGAATCGTTGAAGCTGGTGAAAGTCTGATAATTAATCCTACAATCATTCCTAAAAATGGAAGCTGATTATTATCATTTACAAAAATGTATAGCGATGAATTATAATTTAACTTTTTTACCTGCAAATATGGATACGATAGTTTCATGTATAACTTTGATCTGTTTTAAATGTAAGTAATAACTTGTCCATAATGCGCCAATTAATAAAACCGTTTGAATTAATAAGGCCCAACTTGAATAAAGCTCTTCCTTCTCAATTGGAGCCTCGGGTTCCATTGCTATATTATATTAAAAATGACGATAGTTTATTAATTCTCTTCCTTATATGCTTTTTAGCAGACTTTGTACGCGAAAGAGATTTTGCACATTACCTTAACAATATTTTGACGTGTAATAATATGTTATAACAATTAAAAGTATAAGAAATTTTAAAATGTCTTCAGTAAACACGTTATTATTGAAGCCTCATTTGTAATAAAAAAAACACTCTAAATGGGGTATAAAACAGGTCAAGTATCAAGATGGATTTTTGAGTTGTTAGTTTATTGGCTGAAGATGATCGTCGTACTACAAAAAGAGAAATAAAGTTTAATTTAATTAAATGTCAAAGAAATGAGAAATGAAATTAGTATCTTTCCTACTTCATAACGCTGTGTGGCTATCCCAATTTGGTTTCCGTGATAGAATTATTTTTAGGCCCAATGAAACTTCATTTTTTATTTTCAACCAAGCAGATTCTACGAACAAGAAGATACTCTACAGAGAAGGTAATAAAATTCACTTTTAATAAAATTAATAATATATAGAAACTTTGTTGCTCCAAAATATCAAAAATCCGAGATGGTAAGCATATCCTTAAACGGTATTCATCAGAATTATTGAACGAGAAATATATACACGATTCATGTAAAAAAAACAAATTTATGAATAGATGACTTTATTATTTAAATAATTTTTTTTTGAATTTACATTATATTATTTTATTTAAATGATTTGAGGGTACTTAAACAAGAAAAAATATATTTAAAACCGAATATATTATAAGGAAAAAAAATGAATTTATATTGAGAATAACTATCTCCTAATTTTGCGGCCATTGAATATTTTTATGGCATTTCGCTTTTATATATTTAATTTTTCGTCGCCGTCATTTGAGCTGGCGTGCGAAATAAATTTTTTGTTTTTTTGAAATTGAGGTTACTCTTTTAGATATTTGCGACCAAGGTAACAATCTTAGATATTTGTATTGATGGTGCAAAAGAATAATTATAATAATTTTTTACTTTTATGGTGTAGAACAAAATAATTTTTGTATTTTTATTTTTATGAGAAAAGTGAGGTTTAACTTTATAGAAAAGCCGTTTTATAAAGATCCCTTTATGTCGTGAAACGAAAATACGAACAATATTTTTTCATTTATTTATTAACTATTTATGGATTTTCATTGATTGAATGGACTTTGTCCCAAATGTATTGGATTATTATTCAATTAACTTTAATTAAGCTATGTTTCTAATAAGTTTAGAACTCAAAAAAAATTTTTTTTTTTTTTTTTTTTTTACTAATGTTTTATAATAATAAATATTATTAAATCTAAAAAAAATATATAAAGAATCCTATTTAACAACTTATAAAATATTCCTATAAATATATTATTATAAGTTTTATTTACTTTTTATATTTGATTGAATTTATTTTAATCAAAATTATGTTAAGACTGCATTAATAATTATTAAATTCTCATTTAAAAGAAGTTGCTAGTGATTCTTTAATAATTATATCAAAGAATTACCGTTTAGTACTGCCTAAAGTATCTCCTTTTGAGCGTATCCCACTTTAAAAGATCCGGGTATTTTACTAGATAACAAAAATTTTCACTATTTTAGGATCCGGGTATTATTCAATTTTAATTAAATAAGTTTTGAATAAGATCCGGATATTTTACATAAAGTTTTTAGTTTTAAAATTTAGATCACAAAATTTAATAAATTAATAAATTAATAAATTAATCAATTTTACAATAAATAATATATTTTTGAGCAATATTTCTATTTATTTATAATTTGATAATATATAATTATTGAATAAACATTACAGAATTATAATTTGATTAAATTCTATTAATTCCAGTTTTGGATTATGTTGCAATCTTCATTTTCTTTATAATAATTTTCTTCATTTTTATTATTCTCACCATCCGATTCACTTCCATTGCTATTATCTTCAAATTCACTTTCATTATTACCTTCATCTTCTTCAATTCCTCTTTCTTGATTATTTATTTTTTCTACTTTATTGAAATTAAAAATTTGATTATTCTCCTTCTCATCTAAGAAATTTGATATGCCACAACATTTAAATGAATGTCTAATCATATCAGAATCAATTGAATTCCAACTTTGTTTTATCCAAGTTGCTACAAGTGAGTAAGATTGTTGTTTGATCTTTTCAGTTAGTATATAATCCTTAATAGCTTTATTCATCCAGTTATTATAAAGATATTGAACCTATTTTACTTAGTGTTAAGTTAATTTATTTTAATTAAATAACAATCAAAATAAAATAATTACCTTAGATTTGAAAGATTTATTTAATGATATATCAAGTGGTTGTAAACAAAAAGTTAATCCACCTGAAATAATAGCTAGATCTGTATTTTTTTCATAAAACTGATTGTTTACTGCACTAGTTTTATAGCTGTAAAGGAGTCAAATACTAAAAGAGATTTTGGGTTTATGCCTCGTCTTGTACATTGTCTCCAAATGTTTTCTACCTACCAAATCATTTCATTTTCATTCATCCAACTTTCTTTATTAGCACAAATAATTACATCATCAAGAAACTTCTCATATAAAACATTTACGAGTTTAAAAATAATCACAAGAGGTAATTTTATTCTATCTGCTATACAAGTTAGAATAACAGTAAAATTGGAATGTTAAAATTGATACAGTTCTAGTATCATATTGCTTTACTGTTATATTATTTGGTAAATTAAAAGCCATTGGTGTTTTATTTATATTTGCAATTAAAGATAATAGATATTAGTATTCTTTTTGATGAAATAGAACATAAGATAAAAACTAACTTTGTAATTCAATATAATTTTCTGGAAACTTCTGAGTAATTGTTATTTTTCTTCTATTAACTATGTCATAAAGCTATTAACCTATTTTTGCAAAAATTTTGCATCTTTTATATCTAGAAACTTCACCTGATAAATTTGTTTTTAGCTAAAGAATGTACTTTTGCCTGAATTATATAATGTGAAATAACTTTCAATTGATTTCGAGATTCTCTAAACTATTCTAAAAGTTTAACTTCAAAATGTAGATATTTTAGTCACATATTACCATTAAGCTTTTGATTATAAGAAGTCATTTGCATAAGTTGTTTTTTATTTCTTATTCACTTACAAAGTTATTTTGGTTTAATTTCAAATTTATTTTCTGTTGATCATTTACTTTGACCATTTTCATAATATGTAATTATCATTAGTTTTTTCTTTGTTATCCATTGTCTTCTCCATTTTATTATAACTCTAGCATAATAAGTAAAGATGGTTCCTATAATTATTTTAAAAATTTTAACTAGTTGTAACTTAAGTTGCAACACTTTAAGTTGCAATATTTTATGAATTTTTATATTAAAATAAATTTATAAGGAGTTGCAACTTACAGAGTTGCAACTTCTTAATTATGGTGCCTATCTTTAATAATGAGTTTGAAGATTTTCACATACCATATTATTAGTACTAAAATAAATAAAATTGTTAGTATTTATCAATATAATTTTAAATAAATTTAATAAAATATATTAAATACCTTAAGATTTAAAGGTGAAGTATAAAAAAAATATGAAAGAAAAAGTGAAAAAGAAACATGAAATGCGAAATGAAAATATGAAGAATAATATTTTTAATTACATTTTTCCCTATTCAAAAAAATCTATAACTACTAAATTAGTATTAATGAAGTGTAAAAAAAAAATTTACCTATTTTTAAATTTCCTGAATATAATAGATTATTATTATAATTTTCCTAAAAAAAATAAAAAACTGCAAAAATAATACTATTTTTAAAAAACCCTCCTGTTTTATGTCTATTATAAAGATGAGGGACAAAACTCAAAAAAGGCAATTAATAAATAGCCGAAACTATATTAAAACATAGTGAGGGGTATGACAAAACCCCAAAACCTGAAATTAGCTGAAACTATATTAAAAATATAGTAAGGGATATGATGAAATTATTTTGAAGGAGTTTCGGCTAGCATCTTTAGTCTATTAATATAAAATACCCAACTATTATAAATATAATATACATTTTTTGAATATGAAAGATTCATCTGAATATATAGCATTAGTTAAAAAAATTTTAAAAATTATGGCAGCAGCCATTTTATTATATATCATATTTCAAGATCAGTATAGCTTTTACAGTGTATTAAAAAAGTCAATTTAAATTAAATCGGGATAATTAAATCAGTATTTATTGATTATCTAAAAGTTAATTTTTTTGTGATATATTACCATTAGGGTTTCACAATTTGATTTGATATTTGAATATTTGTTTGATTCGATCAAATTTAAATCAAAGAATGATTTATTTGATCAAATCCAAATTAATGTTTGATTCAATTTGATCAAATTCAAATCAAGTATTCAAATATTTGATTTGATTTGAATCAATGGTAAAGCTATCTCCAAAGCTTTAGAATGGTTCTTACTAAGAAAAATATAGTAAAAAGTGTCTCTGCAGCTTCAGAAATGCCTTTTTTACTAAGAAAACTATAGTAAAAAGCACCTTCGTAGCTTCATAAATGCCTTTTTTACTAAGAAAAACATAGTAAAAATGCCTTCATGACTTTAGAGACTAAGAAACCTAGTAAAAAAATGCGTCTGCAGCTTCAAAAACGTTTTTTTACTAATAAAATTGTTACAAAACTGAAATGGCAGTTATTACTAAGTTTTCTTAGTAAAACTGAAACTGCAGAGTTATTTTACTAAGTTTAATAATAAAAACTCACCTGTTACTAAACTTACTTTGTAAAAGTTATCTTTGAAATTTTTGCAATTAATAATAATTTTCTTAATTAAAACTTTAGAATAACTTTATTTTAATATATCATTATGGGAAAAGAAAAAATTTTTTTTATTTATTTGAAATTTCAGTATCAAAAGTATCTAAATTTCTGTTTGAGAGTTAGAAGTTGTTTGAAGGGAAATATTTTGAATATTTAAAGTAAAAAGTTTAGTAAAATTATTTTTATTTTAT